GCTAAATAGTTTGAAAAAACCAATTTATTCATAAACAGAAAGACTAGAGTGGAAAATTAAAAACAAACTAGTCTATCTGCAAGATTAATTTTACTTCAGAAATGGTTGTTAATGGATAACCTCTTTCATTTCATGTGAAAAATTTTTATGGATAATTTACATTGATCAAATTTTATAACTTCTGAAATATATCCAACAAAATATCCATCTTTAAAGCTCCATATGAGTAAGCTAACAATGAGCTTTATTTATCCTTCAACAGGTCATTTTAAGATAAAAGTACTCATATAACATAATAATAACACTTATAACATTGCTAGTTTTTACTTATACAAAATGAAGTATTGCTGAATATAATAAATCTACTTTATTCATATGTACATATCATAATGAAATTTTAGTAAAACAATCACTTCAATATCCATCCTGTAACAGGAGAGACCATTCTGGGAACACAAAATTTTAGTCCATGCAATTTGTTGATTGACCAATTAAAATCGTGAATTTGATAACGTAAAAATAAATATGGGTTTAATTCATTTTGTCAACAATCACTTCACCAACAATTGTTTCGTTAATGAATTTAAGAAGCTGGATGCAACCGTGCAACAAACCATTGAAATAGTCTAATAATTAAAATGTACTACTTGAAAATGTATTTAAAGGGTTGGTTTTTGACTTGGTTGAAGAATAACTCTTCTCTTGACCATATCTCTCAATATAATCAAAATAACCTTAATATAATGAATGTCAATGAAATGATTGTAAATTTGACAAATTTAAGATACATGATTGAGATGAAAAATGAACAATGTATCTGAGTACACTACAATTATTCAAATTAGCATAGTTAGTGTAATTACAATTACATAATTGCAAAAAATGTTTGTAGATGGTTTCCTAGAAGTAACAAAGCCACTTGGAAGGTGATGATTGGTTATTTGATTAGTATATATTTTCTTTTTCATCTTCATGTCATCTGTCCTTTTTTTTTTTACTTTTTTACTTATTAACTTCATTCTTGGATTGTTGCTTTCTAGAATATTAAGTAGTTTCAAAATATTATGAGCCAACTGATGAAGAAATCAAAACAGATAAAGATAATTGAAAAGAAGAATTTATTAAGCAATTAAGAAATGAAGAGAGAAATAGCAAAATAATTAAAACTATTGAAATTATTAAAATTGAAAGCAAAAGAGGCAAAATTAGAGCAATTAGAAGCAGTTAAGAATCAGGAGATAAGTTGACAAGCCAAGGAATTTAGCAACTAAAACAAGAACTACATTTAGCCAACAAGTCTTTACCAGTATTACCAAGGAAAAAGAATAAAAACTACTAACTTAAAAAAGAAACAAGAACAAATAATTGAAGTAAAACCTAAGCAAGTCAAACCAACTCATGCTAATTCTTTTTTACCAATTCTTTTTTTAATTTATTTAATTTTTAAAAGATAACAAAAGACATACTCACCTAGGTAGAAGACATACTAATGCAAAATTCTTAGTTCCAGAATAGTTGAGGCATGGGAGGATCTTTATTGATTGTCAACACCATGATAATGACTTTACACAAAATTTTAAAGTCAAAAAAACATATCCATATTTAAACAAAATATTGATATAATAGTAAAGTGGTGCAATTTTTTTATTAAAACTTTTTGACAATTTTCAAAAAATTCAAAGTGAAAAGGGAAGGAAAAAAAATCAAAAGACCTTACTGGTATTTTTCAGGAGTTTCTAAAGGATTTCCTGAGGAGCACTTCCATTAGGACACCATTCAAATCAACCTTCAAAACCCAATCATTTATGTGATGCAAATGTCACCGATTAAATTTGGGAGAGCGTATTTTAATTGGTGATAACAATTATTTTTGTTTTTGCGTGGATCAGAAATGAATAGGGATCAACGAATTGATTTTGTTATTAGCGAATAATTTTGGTTAAAGAAGATAATAGTTTAAATAAAATATTTATTTTATTTATTTAGTTTTCTTAGTCGAAACTAATTAACTTGTTATCAAGTTTTCCTTAGTCGAAACTAATTAACTTGTTAGAAAGTTACTTTTACATTAGGTCGAAATCAAGTTCTTTATATACATGTTCATTTACATATTAGCCCGAATTGCGATTCCGCTCGGTTTGGGCGATTCCGCTCAAATTGCGCGTTTTCGCTCAGATTGCGCGAATTCACTCACTTTGTACTTGGGCGAATCCGCACGTTTTGAGCGAATCCGCCCGTTCCGGAAGAATCGTCATTAATCTCTACTAAATAAAGTTAAATAAATATGAATGTGTTACGGATCGATTATTAATAATAATAAATACGCGAAACGTAACACGAATTCAGATGATAATAAATAATAATTATTATACACGTTATTGATAAATAAAAATAGAAATAATAAAAATAAAAATAATAAAAATAAAAATAAATAATAGATTAAATAAAAATAAAAATAAAAAATAAAATTTAATTTGACCCGAAATTAAAAGGATTCGGCCAAATTATCGTCGTCATCATCTGATCCTGGTAACACAAATGATGAATGTGAAAATTATGTAGTCATGCTTATCATAATGACTGCTGAAATAAATTAAATTGCATTGTGTTTATTGTCATAATTACCTTTCAGGTTCAATTGACGAATTGTCTAAATCATATAATGAACAATTGGAAATGAACAATGACACTCAAGATGAACTTGAACTACCTAATGAAGGAGAATCAATAATGTTGATGAAGTCCCTGCTTATGAAGAGCTAAATCAAGAATTAAATAGAATGCTTAAAGGTAAATATTCTAAATATTATTATATCTATTATAGAATTTGAATCGCGTTGTCCTCTTGGTGATGTTAGCCGTTTAAAAATCCTTAGCCGGCTAAGCCGTTTACTACCTAAATTGGTAATTTTATTTCTATAACCAGAAGATAACGCGGAAATATATTACCAAATTTAGAGATCATGTATGCAGACTATTAGCCGGCTAACATCACTACTCTTACCGATCCAATAAGTTTTGTAATATTTCATTTAATAATAAAAAGTACATGCCATTTTTCATTTGTTGGTCTCGCAATACAGTAACAGCCAATGATACGATTTTTATTTATGTTAAAGTGTCTCTTCTCTTAAAATATAAATTTTTTTTATTACAAATAAAATATACAGTGAACCCTCCCTAAGTGCACCCTCCCTAAATGCACGCACTATGTATACCCTCCATAAATGCACGGCCCATCTCATTCCCAAGCTTATAGAGAGCTTATAAAATCACCCTCCATAAATGCACACCCTCCATAAATGCACGCTCACAAAAAATAGCACTATGTTCCCGAGGGGGGTGCACTTATAGAGGGTTCACTGTATAATAAAATTTTTCAAATGTTTAAAAAGGCTTTAGGATTTTTTATGGGACTTAAGTCTGGTCAGGTTCTAAGATAAACTGCCAGTTCCGTGGCTATATTGAACCGATTTATATCTCGCATTGGTTCAATTGGCAGCATGTGATGTAAAATTAATTTCACTATCCATATTAATATTAATATAAGCCAATTTATTCGACCAGAGGAAAATGTATAAATGCTACATTGGCGTTACGCAATTTTGATGATTGTTTAGTTTTTTTTGGATAATGAACAATTTAAATAAACAATTTTGATTATAATGAATTGCACCACATCCAGAAGTTTAACAAATAAAAATCAGAATTCAAATGAAGGATCAATATATCCATTTGATTTTAATTTTTTATTTCACCAGTAAAATAACTCCAAAGCAAATTGTAAAATTTCTTTTCCGATAAAAAATATTATAAAAATATATTTACCCACGTAATAATAAAAGTTAAAATTACTTGATTTTGATTTTTTCAACCAATCCATCATCACCTAATTTAATTCATAAAAAAATTAAATGTTTTTTGATAATGGTATTAAATGTTTAAAATAGATAGTATGTCTCCGTTAATTTCACCATTATTATTATTTGTATCATTAATAGAATTTCAAAATGTGTGCTACTATGTTCTAAATTAGGATATACATATTTATTAAATGATTGTTTTATCACAGACAATGTAAAAGCTTCTAAATATTATTGGTGGTGATGAATTATACTAAGAAAAAAATAATTTTTTATAAATAGCATCAATTTTATTATGTATTGTAGATCCTCTGATACAGCACTTAAATTATTAACTTTATTAATTGATTTTGATTGGTAAAAATAGAAGAATAACAGTAGAAGAAGTAGTGGAAGTAGTAATGGTAGAGGGAGTAGTAGTAAATCGTTAGATAGTGAATTATTTATATCAGATAAAGGTTTTGATGGTAAAAAAGAAAAAACTTATATTGTTTGTTATCATTATCAACTTCTAATATTTTCATTATTATATTTTTTAATGCAAGCTTCTGACAACCTTCTCCATTTTCTTGATTTATTAACATACTTGACAAGTATTTTCTTATAAATATTGTTATATTATAAATGAAATGTGATGTGATTCTTTTTTATTTGTTTTTTTTATTGGGGATTCATGTACGTTATAGAGTGAATTTATATCTAATAATAAATGATCAGCTTTTAAATGTCACAAGAAGTCGATCGAACAAATTTGGCCCATACGCTAACTTGTCCTAATCATTGTACAAAGCAAGATGATATATTAAGTAAAATTAATATAAATAAATTGAATGAATGAATGAATGAATATAAATATATCTTTGAACTTTTAATTTTTTATCAAGAAATTTTTTTTCTTGTTTAAAATGGTTTACCAATCTAAACGGCAATTATAATTCTAATTTTTCATTTATTTATTTATTTACTACTATTACAACAACTATCACCACTTCCACTTTCAAAAATATTACAACTTTTTCATATTTATATGTGTGTGCTTTTATTTAGGTTTTTGGAATGTAAAAAAAAATAAAAATATTACAAATTCTAAGACTTACATTTGCAACATTATTTATTATTTCTTTAAAAAAAATTATAATGGGTTGTTGTACATCGAGATTGTTAGATGATGATATTTTGGATTCTTCGGAAGATCCTGTTCCTAGAGGAGGTAAAAAATTTATTTGATTTATGTTAATTGATAATTATAATTGGAAAAATGTGATAATTTTTAATTTTAATTAAAATAGAGTGCATTTTAAAGGGAATTGTCGCCAAATTATTATCACTATTACTATTACTATTTATTATATTATATTTTTAATGAATTACCTGTGTATAATAATGAATAAAAATTTTTTTTTTTTGTAAAGGAAATAAACCATTCACAAAAAAAGGATTATCATGGACTTCAGATTCTCCAATAACTATTAATCAATTAAAGAAACAACGTGATGCATTCTGGGATACTGCTCCTAGTTATGAGGTAATAATTATTTAATGATTATAATCTATATAATAGCATATAATATCATATCAGATATATTTATGTGTAAATTTTTTTTTAGGGCCGATTAGAGATATGGCAAGCTATCCGGTGCGCATGTGAATCAGATGATATTATTCTCTCACAAGCAGTTATTGATACTGCCAATATCACTATACCGACAGGTAATTTGGCTGAAGGATGTTATGATGAACTTGGTAATAGATATGTAATACCAGTTTATTGTTTAGTTGATCCAATAAATATTTTGCATAAGGATGGAGGAGGTGAAGGTTCTTCCTCCTCTTCTTCCTCTTCTGCAGATCGTGGAATAGATGATATGAATTCAAAATTACTTTCAGAACACACAAAAAATAATGAAAAACCTATTAAAATTAGATTATCAAATTCATCAAATGATATAATAGTTAACATAAATCCAAAATTAGATACTATTGCCATATTAAAAGCCAAATTATGTATAAATCAAGGGTTGGATGTTAAGAAGTTTAATGTAAGGATTTTATTTCTTGGACGTTTGTTGGATGATAAATTAAAATTTTCAGATTTAGCACTCAAAGACGGCCAACTACTACAAGGGTTAATTACAGAAAAATGATTATATTGTAGATAGAAAGAATTTAAATTGATTGTAGTATAAATAAGATGTTTGAATTAACGAAAGAAGTAAAATAAATTGATTATTCGAAAAAAAATTTTTTTTAAAAAATACACCCATCCAAAAAAATAGTAAATGTCAATCAACCTGTAGCAGACAAGATATATTGCCAGTTTTTTTGTTACCAGATTTTGTTCTGGTAATTAATTATGTACCACAATAGGTTTTACCTTAGTGTTAGCGTTAGTATTATTACGGTATGATATGGTAGGACCCGAGGTCTTTATATAAGTCACACAAAATTTTATACTAAATCCTTTTTGGGGGGCGTGAAGGTTGGGTTTGCAAGAGTTATACCATACTTGTACGTGTTATTTCTTATATGATCAAGTTTCAGTAAAATGGCGCGCACAAAATTTTTATTGAAATTTAAAGTTTTTTACAAGCAAATCTAAAAAGTCAAGTCGAAGATAAGGTTCATGTGATTTAAGTCGTGAAGCTTGTGAAAAAAAGATAATTGGAAGAATTTCAAGGAAAAAAATCACCAAGAAAATAAAAATATTATTTTCTAATTGGAAGAGTATGAGGAGCAGGATAATAGTTATTATATTGAAGAACGAAAAAGTTATCAATAAAAATAAAGAATTGAAATCCAAATATAACAACTTGAATTATAACTCGCCTCGTAAAAAAAATTACAAATAAATCATGTGTAAAAGTGTACAACAATAAAGGCTAACAACGGTGTCAGTCTGACATAGCAACCTCCACATCCAATACATTTATCATTATTTTCACGATGATAATAATATTAATAATAGCAATACTAATGGTCATAATAATTGATCGTAGTGGTTATTTTTCGAAATTAAAATAGAGCAATAGTGACAATAATAATTGATTTTCTTTTCACTCTTTCATACCAATGTTATCAATACCTTGTCATCACTGTATAATTTCTGATCACTCTGACAATTAAATCACACTAGTACTAGCTATTTCTTTAAAAAAATATATTTTATTTGTTAAATTGATTTTTTTCTAATGCCTCATTCATATTAATATCTTTTCTTAGTTTACGAATTCTTTATCGTTTGTTTCTAGATAAATAAAAATAAAATAAACAATTATTACCTTGACAGAATAATCAAAATGATTTATAATCCTCTTAATATCTGACAAAGAAAATTAAAATTTTGGAATTAATTTAACGATTAAAATAAAGAGTTGTTGTTCCACCTGTCAATGTTATTATTACTAGGTGAGTATGTCTTTTGTTATCTTTTAAAAATTAAATAAATTAAAATAAACAATTATTACCTTGACAGAATAATCAAAATGATTTATAATCCTCTTAATATCTGACAAAGAAAATTAAAATTTTGGAATTAATTTAACGATTAAAATAAAGAGTTGTTGTTCCACCTGTCAATGTTATTATTATAAAAATATAAAATGCATAATTGGCGATTCTTCTACAAATCAGAAAAGTAAATCAGAGAGACGAATAGATTGAATGAATGGTTTTTTTAGCCTGTCAGATTATATGACGTGGGTTCACAAAGTCGTAAGTATAGAACAAAGATAAAAATTTGGAAATTTGGAAAAAGCGGAATTCTAAAAATCGGAAAGGGCAATATTAAAAACAATTCGTGAAGCAGCTTTAATTACCAATCTGAAAAGGGAGGTCGTTTGGCAATTTGTTTTGATAAATTAGTAGATTATAAACATGCTGCAATGTATCTTCGGGTATAGATGTACCATAAACCAGTTTATGAATGATGTTCGCCCTGCAAAGCAAAATATATTTTATATTTAGGATGTATGTGCTTCATTTTAATTAACATGAATAAACTAATAATAACTAGTGAGATTCTCTTTTGCTTTTTTGTTTCATTTAAATGATTATCATAATTGCTTATATGCTTCGCGATTGTATATTAGTATTAGTATACTATACTAACTAGGTTAGGACTCCAGACAATTATATTAGAGGTCACTCAATTAGTGAGAATGACCATTTTTACTCCCCAAAAGCTCCATATTATGTAATTTTATGTGTAACTAATGCTGATCGTTTCTTAAGATCGAATGTTATGTTCGTTAGAACCCTATAAAAACTATAACTGATAATAATAAAAAATAACATACGGGAAAACAGTACATGAACCGTATATTTTCTGTCAATAATTTTTTTATAGGGCAAGTGATAGGAATACTACATATTGGCCTAATGGTGCAGTTTTCAAAGTTATGGTTTTATTGCAATATACAGTACCTGGAAGAAAGTATCCGAACGCAGTTTTTCGAAAATTCCGCAAAATATTACATAATAAAAAAATAAAT